AAAAAAAAAAAAAAAACAAACAAAAAAAACAAAGCAAAACAAAACATTAACAAAAAAACTTCCCCTGAGAAACATCTTTTGGATGAAACACAAATAGGCCCAAGCCAGTGTTTTTAGTCAAACAAATTCCTCCCACCAGCCTCCTCACCTCACTCCCAAGCCTGCCCATCTGGGTCTTCGGAGGGGAAAAAAACACCTCTGGGTTTTTATCCAATTTAGAACCACCACAGTCCTCACTGCTGCAAGGACCACACAGGCTGCAGGGCGCAGCTGCATCTGGGGCTCTGGCTGGCAGGTCCCGAGTGTGGAGAGGAGCAAGCTTTGAAGGAAGAGGAGAAGGTTCTGCGTCTGTGAAGACACAACCTCGGAAGCAAGACTGTGAGTCTGGCTTCCACTAAACAGGTACACAAGGGAGCCACGCCTCAGCCAGCTGTGCAGCAGGGCAAGACGAAGCTGCTGTTTCCTTAGGCCGCAACGCCAGACACGACTCTTCTTTCCAGTGGGGGTGCCGCTGTTTCCCTAAAATATTTAGGTCTCAGATTGACAGGCTCTAGTGACTTCTCCCCCAAACCTGGGTTCATTTTAGGCACGGGTCTGCAAAATGCTACGGTTTTCCCAGCGAAAGCCCACCATCAAAAACGGTCTTCCTTTCAAGCTTGGCCAGTTCTGGGGCCCGACCCCACAATTTATTCCACAGGGTCACCGGATGGCCACCAGGGCACTGAGCAGGCACTGTGCCAGACTGCACAGAGGTGACCGAGTGGACTTTTCACCTCTGAGGTCCACCAATTAACACCATTTGCTGGAGTCTGCCTTTCGCAGGAGCTAGTTCTGCAGTCTCTTGCTAAAGAGAAGGGATCACTGGCATTCCAAGCCACCTGGACAGTAATTAACCACTGTCACCACTGCAGCACGTCCAGGTCAGAGACCAGGGCTCAGGATCCAGCGGAGGCCCTAGAGCCTGCAGAAGGCCGGAAATCACGCCCTTCTGGGGCTGCCCTGGCCCGAGAGTGGATTTTTAACCTCCACACTTCAGTTTCTTCATCTGTAAGGATCGGGCTGATAATCTTGTCACTCCAAGACTACAACTGAATGGAACTTGAAGAGGCCCCAGGCCCTGGGAGTTCCGGTGTCCTTGCTGGGGGACTGGCTGCCATGTTAGGAGGAGACCCCAGTCCTATGGCGTGAGCAAGTAATTTGGGAAAAGGATGCAAAGGGCTTTTTTTTTTTTTCCCCTCTCTCTTTTGAGGAGGCTGGATTTGGACATCTTCAAAGTAGGGAGCTGGCCATCGAAGAGTTTAGACTATCATGAGAAATCTGGCCCCGGCAAGAGCAGTGTGGGGTTGTGCTGACCTTGAGGAATCTGTCTACACTGGCCAAACCAACCTTTCAGCAACCCCCCAACTCTCTGCAGGAATAAAAAATTCCTACAACAGATTTGAGAACTCAGCACTCCATTTGCCATAGAAACTCACTGAATTCAAAAGTGTAGTTGACTTCAAACAGCTCCACAGAGTCTACCCAAGTATGTAGTGTCTCTAGGCTATAGCTTAGACCTGCGGGGAGAGAGACCCTCATGCATGACTCTTGCTGCCTTTCTTCTGCCCTGGCTGAGGAGCACCCACCTCCACCTTCTCTCCTTCTCCACTCTGGGAGTAGCTATTTGATGGGGGGAAAGGGGTCAAGGGGCTTCTGAAGGGAAGGATTTTGCATAAGGCTGAAGCCCTTCTGGGGCAGTGATGGTCAGGGGCTCTAACTCTGCCTGCTTCTGGGTACGAACAGAGTGTTCTCAAATCTAGGGCCTGAGTCATCAAACACACATCCAGGACCCACTGCAGGCTAGTCACTGGGGGATAAAGAAATAAACAGGCTGGGCGTGGTGGCTCAGACCTGTAATCCCAGCACTTTGGGAGGCCAAGGTAGGCAGATCACGAGGTCAGGAGTTTGAGACCAGCCTGCCCAACATGGTGAAACCCCATCTCTACTACAGTAGAGATTAAAAGATTAGCCGGGTGTGGTGGCAGATGCGTGTAGTTCCAGCTACTCGGGAGGCTGAGGCAGGACAGGGAGGCAGAGGTTGCAGTGAGCAGAGATTATGCCATTGTACTCCAGCCTGGGTGACAGGGCGAGACTCGTCTCAAAAAAATAAGATAAAA